TAGATAATTTTATAAATTTCCACTTAAAAAAAAAAAACCTAATTTTTCTAAATTTGCATCCTGGGTACATAAGAATACAAAACTGGAATATTTCTAATGCTAGACTGTAAAAAAAATGGAGTCGAGACAAATATTTGTTTAGAATAATTTAGAAAATTTTTAAAAAAATCATTTTGACATGAATTTAAATTGATTTTTGTTTATGTTTTGACAGATGCCAGTTACTACAGTTCATTTATTATTAACGATATTGCATCAATGTCTCTCCTCCATCTTAGAATGAAAGGCGACATTTAACATTTTAGTGAGGAATCGCTTGCTTGTTTCTTATTGAATAAGATATTTGATTAAAAGATTTAATTCTTATTTTCTTCAATAGAGGGAAGTTAAATTTTATACTTACGACTGTATTCACAATCAGTTTAGAAGTTAACCAATTACCAGTCACTTGACTTTTAGTACATGAACGTTTATTGGTTAACTTCTGACTTTAACTCTTGATCACTTGTGGATAAGGACGTTTTATGTTGTAACAGTTTAAATTAATAATTGGCATAAGTTTTATTGTACCATGACTTATGTTTAACAAAAAAATAACAAATACAGTGCATTGAAAAATTATTAGCTGTGTTTTCAACTTTTATTGTCCGAATGAATCGCTTATAATATTGGGCGCATTACCTAGTAAAGCGGCTTCGATACAGCTGTATAAGCAAGCCAATGATGGCACGTTTCAGTTTGAAACTGGCCATGCCATTGGCTTGCTTACACAACAGTTTAAGGCCGCTTTACCAGTCAATTCGTCCATTGACTGAAATCTTGAAGGCGATCGATTTCGCGTCACAGACTAATCATAATTAAGTAGAACAAATTTTCGGCTTGCCCAATGTAATCAATTGTGTTTAGACATCGATCATTGTTATCGATCATTGATAGAATCTGTTTCGGATTAATCGGATTAATGCGACATGCCAATTTTTCTTATCCATTTAGATCTTTCGGATTATTTTTCTTGCTTGTTTCATGTTCATCAATGCTGCTTTAAAAAAACAATATTATAATACTCTTTATTATACAATAAAGCGTTTATATTTAATTTTCAAACAGATTTTATAAGAAGTAAAATTAAAAATCTAGTGTTTGCACCACATAGTCGCCGCCATATTTTATAAGAATATAATATAATGCAAAGATAACGTGTATTTGAGATCTAACACTTTGAATTCATTTAAATAATTTCAAATATTGTGTAAAATATAATTATAATGGAAGTGTAAATACAAAATTTGCACGACGCTACCAAAAGGCGTGGAGTTATAACATGGCGCCGAGCATACGGTACAAAACAAAAATATAAGTTTTAATTTGTAAATATTGATAAGTAAATTTAATTATTATAATTACAGAGAAACGAAAATGAAGATGATTGCTTTATATGTAACTTTATTTATATTTGTAAGTATCGAGGCTTATAATGAAGAGAAGCCCATCTATAAATGGAGTCCAATTGTTTTTCGAAATTTAAAAAAAGATGACGTGAGTATACAACTATTTCGCAGTTTATCTTTTTATAAAAAGTGTTTTATTCTTATATATTTGTAAAAAAAAATATATTTTTAAATGTTTGAAATAATACGGAACGGAAAAGCGTGTCCTCCCACTCAACTAGCCATACAAGATGTCAAAATGGATTCCTGGATTAAATCTGGTCCGAACTAATTTTTCATAGATTTCTGTTCTAGACCAGAGACCTATGCCTTTAAATATTGCTGTATTGATCATGAACAGTTCATAATTGATACATGTGTCATGTTAGCAACACTTACTGAATTGTGTATTAAAGGGTTTAAAAGGCCGGATGGCCGAGCGGTCAAGGCAGCAACCTACCTGGGGGATCCGGGTTCGAATCCGAACGGGTCGAAAAATCCCCAGGAAATTTTCGGGGGGTGGTCCGTTCGGATATGCCGGGCCCCGGTCCTCACCACCCGGCAGCCCCATTGTGGGCCTGGCCGAACCCATAATGGGCTTGCATAAAAGAGGTCCTCGTAGTGCCCACAGGGCGGAGAGTTTAAAAAAAGAACTCTTTTTTTCAAATACAATAATTCCTTTATACACAGCAGAGTTCAGGTTTTTTTAAAACTCCTTCCTCCACGTGAACACTACAATGACCTTTATCTTTCTTTAGGAAACCTATTATGAGTTTGGCCAAGCTAGAACAGGGACGTGCGTGATATCCAAAAAAATTCCTGAGTTTTTCGACCCGTCAGGACTCGATCCTGGATCCATCAATGCTGTAGACTGCCAGCTTAACCACTTAGCCATCTGGCTATCAGATGATGTATATAATTAAAGAGCATATTTATTGTCCACAGGGTGGAAAAACTAAAAATGGTTTTGCGGGAGGGATACTTCAATGCAACAGGTGAGCATTGAAGTATCAACAGAAGCCTTTCTATCGGTTGGTCGGTTAGTGTTTTTCGGTGCAAGCGCCACCTTTCTATGGGAAACTTGCCTGTGTTTAGGTGTTAGACAAGTGAAGTAAACCTGGAGAACAGGACACTTCAATGGTTTTTATCCATTCGGCCATTGGTGAGCAGAAACAAAAATTAATTATAATGAAATAATGAAAAATAATTATGATTACGAAGAAGGCTGACTTCAAGAGTATTAAGATATAAACGTTAAAAATATAATTTCTATCTTAAATGTATTCTATGTATAAGAAGTTTTATTTTTATTTGCAGTACCAATATAGGTGTGCACCAGAGAAAGCTCTGTGTATGTTCTCCTGGTCGAAGTATGGCATGTACATGAAACAACCGTGTTGTCATGGTCTGGTCTGTGAACGAATTGGAATCTATAACATGTGTCTCAGGCCGTAAGTAATTTATCTTAATTTCTTCAACATATTTAGAATCGTTCACAATTTCTTTTGGAAATAACTAAAATTCTGAATTGGAGAGTAGATTCGCTTATTTTTTTTAACTGATTAAAATATTCACTAATTATATTTCTATCCCATTAAGTCTTGTCCCAATGCCAATAATTATTCATTGTGAGAAAGAATTGTGAATGATTGACGTTAGTATGATAGTATATTAGAGTTTATGCTATAGTTTTGACTTTCAATGGACAAAAATTCAACAGGTACCAATCATATTATAGCTTCAGAGTGGCTGAATGATTAGAAATAGGCTCTAGCTTATACAAGTTACTTTTTGAGCTTCTGATCCAGATTTGATCTTGTATCTCTGGAAGCAGCATTCAGAGGAATCCAAGATCAAATCCGAATCACTGTGAAAAGGAAACCAGAGAACAACAATTAACAATTAAACCTTTTTATTATTAGTTAAATATATTAATTCTCTTCATATTTTTCAGCGTTTGGGAGCAAAATGAAGTCAACTCTCTGTATTAAATATCTCTGCAATATGAACATTCTTCTTCATCGGTGTCAAAACTGGACATTGTTACACGACATTCCGTGAAATGTCTTCTGTGTAAATTTTAACCATTTAAAACTAATCCAAATATATGTCCATAAATATAAATACTGTACTTATTATCATGTAGTATCATTCACATAAATGTTACATTTTAATAATGTATATTTAATTTTCAATAAATTGTTGTTGGTTCAATTTATTAGACTTGTCTATATGAAGAATTTATATTAAGTTTAGCTTTTTAATGTGAAGATGTTGAAGTAGAGCTTTGGCAATACTTCTGAAAATTCTAAAGCACTATTTTCAACTTTCTTTGAGTATCCTGTTGTTTACTTTAGTGTGTGTGATATGCCTGATATTGAATAATTTTAATTAATGGGTATAAGAAAATTGCACAACACCATAGACGTTTATTGCAACTCCCTGCTATGTTGGAATAAACTGTTGCATCAAACTGTCGGAAGGTTGGTTGGCATCATAATCATCTAATCTGGATAGGAACCGAAAAGTTATGTTTCCTAATTTAAGTTACTTAAATTGGATTGAATACTTCACTCCAAAAAAATTAACAAACATTGCTAGATTTAGGTAAGACAAACTCACTTCTTGCATAAATGGTATCACAATATACCCTAATACACAACTTTGTTGTATATTGTTTTACAGTGAACTTAATAAAATGTGATACAAGATACTATAACACATCTGTTGAGACATAATTTATGTCTCAACAGATAAAGTAGAAATGTCCATTACAATGAGATAAAATCTGATTATACTGTATGTGTAACTCTGAAGTAAAAGTTTGTAAGATAAATGTAGTGACATAAGATGTGCTCCCAACAAAAGACTTGATATTAGCATATTAAGTTAGAACTGTAACCTGTTCTTTTCTCATAAGATTTTCACATTGCGTATTCTGAAACTGTGTCTTCTTTTATCTGTTTGTTTTTACTGTCATAACTAGGTGCATAGACAGATAACAACAAATTTCTTGGCTTTACTCTGAACCAAGTTCAGATTACCAAGTTACTCTGAACCAAGTTCAGAGTAAAGCCAAGAAATTTTATCTGTAAAAGTATTTTTAAGTGTAAATAAGTAATTTTAAGCAAGATGTATACCAGTTAACACCTCCTTACAAGAAATGCCGATAGAAGAGGGGCTTATGCCCGAAATGTGTCTTGGCCGACAAGATATTCCCGAATAAAGATTGATGTCAGAAATGTCCAGTGTCTGTCTATGCACCTAGTTGTGACAGTAAAAACAAAAAGATTTTCACACTTTCTTCGATTACTATGTGAAAATAATTTCAATAAAGAATCGCAACTCATACATAATATAAAAGCTGGATCCTTTTTATCTGGACAAAAGTAAAATTGTGCTTTAATCACATTAAAAATCATTCAATGAACACGCTTTGTTATAAGTATTTTAATGTTTTCTCTTTGGCTAGATGAAATTATCATTATGTAATTAAGTGTAAGTCCATATTTATACAAGTTTATTATAAAACTATATACAAAATATTTACACTGACTGAATTTCTTTTAATTTTTTCCAATTCGTAATTTTATCTGAAATAACAGAAAACAGAAAATCAATACAATTGGTGGAGGAAACACTTCAAATACAAATCCAATTTGAAAAAATCTTAGAAAACACTAGTATTTATTCTGAAAGTGCTAATCTTCGAGAATCAATAAGAGAAGATGCAAGATCACAATTAATTTACAGCATCCCACACTACGATGAACATAAACAAAGGAAGGGGCATCAAATGACATTTACCATAATACTTATGTTCATTAACTTCTACTTGTGTCAAAGCAGTAAGAAGAATGCTTCTTTATTTATTTATGTTCATCCTAATGTGGACAAACTAGAAAGATGGAAAAATTAGCAGGAACATAACAAGCATCGTCATAAATCCTGATATACTAGATTCTTTCACAGAGGGATGCCAGATTATTGAGTGTGTAGGTCTAATGCCTTGCACTAGCAGCAGTGAATTCAGAAATATCCACGAGAGATTAACTTGTTAATAAAAGGTACTTAAAAATTAATATGTGCATGACAATTTTATTTCAGATGACGTAATAAACTATATTTGCCATCGTAAATGTTTTAAAACTCCGTGTAGCCCTCCTGTTGGATCTGCTATTGCCTACAGGCAATGAATGATGTAAGTTATCCTTCAGTATTGACTCTTTTTTTTTGGAGGCATTGGTAACTACAGTACATTCTGTACTATAGTTAGCAATGCTCTTGCATCTTCTCATGAGCTTTATTTTTATCTCTAGAGTTCACTTCTGATAATGGGCACATCACACAAAAATACTAAAGTTTTTCTAAAAGATTTTTTCTCCAAGTAAAACAGTTTAAAATCAATTTTTAACATTAGATGTTTCTCACGTATTAATAAATAATCAGTCTTACCTTGACCTAAAGAGAGTTTCCCACTCTTAGTTATGTGACTTCCACAATAGCCTTGAAGTCTAAGAGATTTTTTCAGTAAAGAATCCAGCTGCTTTTTAAGAACAGTTAATTCTTTATTAGAACCTCCCTTTTGCAGTTTAGTCATTCTTTGTGTAATTAAGGTACAAATTCTTAAATCAATTAAAAAAGAAGAAAGCAAATATGTCGTGAAAAGGATACTCGTCTTCATCCAATTCTATATCCATTTCTTTAACTGCATGCTGAAGCCAACTATTTTCGGCTACGCGTTTACGGTTTGTGTGCTCGATCTTGTCAATTCTATGCACTAAAGCTATTCTTTCTTGGATAGGTTTCAAAAGTGTCATATCCAGTGGAAAGAGGGGCAAATCTTGATCTGTAAAATGAATTTTATGTAATAAACAAATATAAGTACTATAACGGCAATTACCAATAACTTACCCCTATTTAACGCTTTACATAATTGACGATAGTAAAATGATTCTTTGGGCTCGATTAGCATGAGACTGAGCCCCTCTTTCATTGCTCGAGCAGTCCGGCCACTTCTGTGCACATATATCTTTAAAAATATTTACTTTTTAATTGAATGTTAAAGTTTTACGAGAAGATAACTGAAAGAAAATAACCTCTGCAGTACGAGGAACTTGATAATGAACGACGTGTTCAATGCCGACAATATCTAATCCTCTGGCAGCCACATCCGTAGCCAGTAAGAGGCTGTTATCCTTGGAAGCGAATCGATCGAGATTTTTTAATCTCTGTCGCTGATGCATGGAAGCATGTAGCGGAAGAGGATCGTAACCTAGCAAACTTAATATGCTTCTCAACCTCCTGACACAATCGATACTGTTGCAAAATATTAATGTGCGCCCAGGATAAATGGCAAGAAAATAATATAAATAAAGATCCTAGAAAAAGAATTGCAAAGAATATAATTCATTTATAATTATGTAATTCTAAAGTCTTAATATAAATAAAACTTACCTTTTCTTCCAGTTTACAGTGAATTCTACTTTCTGTTAATGTTTCCACGGTTCCAAGTTTTCTACTTAAATCTATAATTTTATGTTTATCTTTAATACCAATTATTCCAACCAAGTCCTCTAGAAATAAAAGATAATTTGACATCCTTAAGACATTTTCCAACATTACATTACTAGGTAATTGTTACTAGATTAACAATGTATCAAATGATATTTTATCATTAAAGTACTTGTATATTTATTATTTTTTTAATTTTTCTTATCCTATGAACTTCACAGCACACTGATGACAAGATTTGTCAGACTTACAATAAGAGAGTTGGATGGTAATGGATGAGAGCTAAACCATATATGAAACTTCTAAAAGCTGTTTTATCATAAAAAAAATTGGGGATGGCCATATCATTTAAAACACTGAAGATTTATTGGCAATTAGAGATGTTTACACAATGCACTTGTGGGTCATTCTGAGCATTTGTTTCTCTCAAGACTGGCAAGAACGCGAGTTACCGTGTGATTTTGATCGTCATTCATTGGTTTCATGGGTGTGAGAACAAATGAAAAAATCTGACAGATTAGATTTGCTGTGATGTAGCTGTAACTTCTCAAACCAAGGCTGCTAATAATTTAAGTGTTTGCTAAAATATAGCAAATTCATGCAAATTGCAGTTTCAAGTGGCAAAATGTCAGTGATAGTGGTATCATGTAAACTAGCCTCAAGAACTTACAAGTATTCCGTAATCAATTGTAGATGCATTTCATTCAGTTCAAGAGAAATTAATTAAGCTCACTTAGTTGGTGTTCCATTTTGAACTTTTCTATTTTAGAGCATCTAAAAGTGTGGGCTGCTGGTTGAAAAAGTCCTAATACTCAATATTTAATTTGGTTTAAATTCCAATAACCTTAATTAAATTTATTATCATCATATATTGTTTAGCTATTCTTAATCAATGTATAATCACATAATATTAAAAAAATATATATAATTATATAAAACCTACTGTAGACATTCTTTCATGGCAACTGATTCTTGGTAAGTACTATGGTTAGGCACTATTATGGCTAAATAAATACTAAGTATCTTGGCAAGAGGTAGACAGTGAGGTCACCATCTCCTGTTAAATTTAATAATTATAAATAATAAATAAATTTAATTTAATTTATTTTGAAAGAAAAGATCAGCCCATAACAGGAATCAAATCTTCAACTCTTGCTTACTATCAGAAGCATTGTCACTTCTTCCATCCTATTTTTGCTTCCAGACTAATTATTTAGCCTTAATAGTCTGACAAAGGAATCCAGATGTTTGATATTTGCAGCAGTAATTGGGTTGATTGTATATATACAGTAAAGCCTATCCAAAGTGGAATCTTAATAAAATAGAAACCTGCCTAAATATCAATAAAAAAAATTCTTAGGAACTCAGTGATTTTCTTGTTCAAACTTGTTCAAAATGGAAACCTGCCAAACCAGAAAAAATATTAAGTATCATACAAGTCCAATTTACACAGATTTTGCTGTATAATAGCAAGGTTGCAGCCGACATTTTCAATGCAAAAACGTGTGTGTCAGATGTTCAGTGCCGCCTTCCTGTAAGTCTAGAAGTTTGACAATGGCGTTTGAAACTTCAGTGGAATCATGCGCAACATTCCAAATGCCATTGTCAAACTTCTAGGCTTACAAAAAGACGACACTGAACACCCAACATACATGTCTTTGCGTTGAAAACTTTGGCCGCAATCACACTATTATCAAATTGAAATGATAAACAGATTGGCTTTTACCTACTGCCAACTTGCTACCCTGGATTAGACTTGAGCTTTAACCTAGTCAGATCTTCAGAAATTTTCATGGATGGTTTGAACTGGATACATCTGCTCATGGCCATCCCAATGTGGATAACTTAATGTTTACAACGTAGACAAGAAGAAGGTGGAAAGAATGAGCAATTATTTATTGTGATATTGTTACAATACTGGGCTGTAATTTTTAATCATACTCTTAATATATTTAATTTAAAATATATGTTCTCCATCTCAAATTAGTAATGTCTTGACACTGTACGCCATACTTTTCCTGATAACAACTTCAACCGATTCATGTCATGTCGGTCATCTCTAACTCCATTCAGGAGAAAATTTTTAAATTGAATTCACATGACTTTTGGTCTAGTGTATAAGTTTGTATATAGTTAATCAAGGCCTCCTGCCTCTAAGTTTTCTATATCTCATCTTGACTTTCATCTAACACTATTCTCGAGATTAAGGAAGGGCAGACAGATAACAGTGGGAATTTATAGGTCTACAATGTTTTCAAATTGCAGCCCAATTAAAAACTTAAGGTGGTTATCAAAACATTATAGCTAAGGATTGCAATTGCTGGATCCCTCATCCAGCAATCCAGCTGGATCCAGCGCATTTTTCGGCCTGCTGGATCCAGCACCAGGTGCTGGATCCAGCGCTGAGGATCCGCAAATACTCAATTAACTTTCTAAATAATGGTGCAAAAGTCTACATTGTCAACGTTGCCGCTTTGCTAAGTGTGCTATCGCTCGGCGGCTAGAGCGACGTTGCCATTCAGTGCAGCACGTGCTACACTCCCTCTCTACATCGCACCACCCGTCCTTTTACCTCTGCTGATCTTATTGACAGTTGACTTTTCGCTCTCGCTAAATAAAGTGTCTTCGCGCTAAATAAAATAAGTAACATCCTCTCCTAGTCCTGGTGCATAATTCTAATTTACGGTCGGTTGTGACGTCAATGAATCACGTGACGGATCGCCGCTTCAGCTGCGAGACACCGCACTTTTTCGACTTTTTTTCCTGAATAAACTCGGTGTGCAATAAAAACGTTATTTATTTCATTTTTCACAGCTCGAAGAAATTAGAGAATTTGAATTTTTAAAAATTTTTTGAAAAATTTCGGAAAAATTGCAACTAAAAAAATGCCAGGGGGGTGTCTGTGACACGCTACATGNCGGTCGGTTGTGACGTCAATGAATCACGTGACGGATCGCCGCTTCAGCTGCGAGACACCGCACTTTTTCGACTTTTTTTCCTGAATAAACTCGGTGTGCAATAAAAACGTTATTTATTTCATTTTTCACAGCTCGAAGAAATTAGAGAATTTGAATTTTTAAAAATTTTTTGAAAAATTTCGGAAAAATTGCAACTAAAAAAATGCCAGGGGGGGTGTCTGTGACACGCTACATGATCTTAAATGAAAATTGAATTATTTACCACAAAAATGGCTCTAACGATTTGGATCAAACTTGGTTAGTTATTTATAAAGGAAATTATCATGCCACTTTTAAATGCAAATTAAGATTTAATATTAATTACTTTTCTTGTGTAAATGAAAATTATTAATTTAAATAACTATTGTTGTAACCTGCTGCTATTTTAAGGAAGAACAATACTGTTTTATTTATTTAATTCTTAATAATATAGACAAAAAGAATTAGGTTATATGGCAAGTAATGTGACAATATGTTTACAAACACAACTTTAAATCATAGAACATATGTGATTTAAAGTTGTGTTTGCAAACATTCTATCAAACAGCCTCTATCTAAACCATGGCAATATTTATGTAAAAAACAATTACCCCCCATAGATCAACAATAAATATGGATTATACCCGCTCATTATATTTACTTTTAAATAATACTGTAATTCTTCGTAATTTTTAAAAACTGTTTCTGATATTTCTTTTTTTATCTTTTTTATTTTATATCTACATTCTTCTTTAACTGCACTTAATTAATACTCAATCATCGACACAACAAAACAAATATCGGTTCAGAAATCAGAATCATTTGATTGTTCTATTCTTGACAAAGGCCTTTCAAAATGGCCGAAAACGTTAGAAAATTGAATTAAAAGGCTGCTTTATAAGGTTTTTGTGTTGATGATTGAGTATTATTTTATATCTAATTACAGTCAACCCCCCTATAACACGGGTTCCTATAGTTCAGATTCCTATAACACGGCGAAAAAATTGCGACAGTATTCGTACAAACATGCTAAAAAACCTCCTATAATTTGATAAAACGTCATCGCAGACTCGTGTCGCGACAGGATTGGTCGAATCTAGACCAATAGCAGATATTGCACAAACCGTTGAGTTTAAACGAGCAGCGGACCTACTAAAAACCACTTATTATTTAACATCCATAAAAATTATATTTATATTAATNGAGATTCAAACAAAGGAGAGACAAATTTATCACTGCCAGAAAGACATAAGTGTTATATGTTGTTTACTGCACTATTGAGACGACTAGTAAACTTAATGTATTATTTATTACTTTTCAAGCTATAATTTATTTTTAGTACTATATCTGTTTTTTTTTCTTTTTTGGCTTTAATAATAATATATCAATATTAATGAACATATTTTTGTGTGAATTATTATGAAACAGAAATAATAAAAATGTAGGTTACAATGTGCAGAATATGCTCTGTTTATTGTGACCTACATTTTTAATTTATTAGCAAATAAATACAATTTTATATTGTATGTTTAGACTATTTTATTAAATTTTTATTGTTATAACCGATGATAAATGAATTTGTTGGGCTGTAATTCGAAAAACTGTAGATCTATAAATTCCCACTGTCGTCCGTCTGTTTGTCTGTCTTTCCTTAATCTCAAGAATGGTATTAGATAAACAAAATTTAAGACCAGATATGGAAAATTACTGTGCAGTGAGAAATCTACAATAATATTAAAGTTATTTAAGCAATTTTATGCAATGCTGTACTGTATGCAACGCTTTTGATGCCCCTCCTTCGATTCCCAGGAGGGGCATCGAAAGCGTTTGCCAATATTAGTTTGGAATTTTCACGCCGGATATAGGTTGAAGACTGCACATATCTCCTATATGAGGGATATCTCTTTCTTTTCCTCTTCCCTAATGGTTCTAGAATAAAATCATATCTTTTTTATATTAAAATATAAATTGGAGGAAAGTGACGTGTTTGAGAAAGACCAAATGAAGTAGAATTGTGGCATCGAAGATTTTGAATCATTAGACAATGAATAAAATGTTTTTGCTGCCTGGATTCACTCTCCAGTCCTCCAAAATGGTGGTGTGATCTCTTAACTGTCTTAGCCATTCAAATATAACCTCTGTCAATGTCACTGTCTTGATTTTGTCAAACTTATGTTCTCTTT